CAAAAAAAAAAAAAAAAAAAAAAAGACAGAGTCCAAAGTGGAAAGGAAATGCCCCAATTCTCAGTATCCTATCTTCTAACTCAGAGCTGCTGCTTGAATTAGAAAGGCAACAGGAGGGTGAGCAATCAGGAGGGGAAAATTTAACCTGCTGATTCCTCAAGGCTCAGATCTGCATGTATGGCAGACTGATTAGAAGTCATGATGCCCCTTGCAGAACACAGTGAAATACTGACATGGCATAAAATGCCACAGTATGTGCAAAAGCAGGTCCTGTCTAATACTGGACTCCAGGCTGCCAAAGCCTGCAAGTCTTATGGCGTATTTATGAGGAGAAACACAAGAAAATTCTACGTGCTAGCTCTGGTCTCCCACTAGGGTCCCACAATGGGAACAGGACCACAAGCGTTAGAGGTTAATAGCAGACTCACTGATAGGACAGACAGACAGACAGATAGGAGTCCACATGAAAAAGCATATGCCATGTGGGGAGTGTCCTTGAATCCAGAACCTAGATGGGAGGCCAGACAAGCACTGACTATAAGCCAGGACTGACTGACAAGTATCCAAGGGTCAGGCAGATACCTCAAGTGACGACATATTAGAAAACCAGCCAAAGAGCTTCTGCCAGGACTGAGGAGGCAGGCTCAGTGTCCAGGAATGACAGAAGTTGGGGTGAGGGTCACCACTGTCCGTATCCAGGTGTAGCAGAGGGGTGATAGGAGTCATCAATTCTTCTGATTGTTCAAGAGAAGTTTGGCATCTGAATTTTTTTTATATGATGCTTTTTAATTTTTTTGATGTTGACAACTACTTCAATTAAGAAATAGAAACGAGTAAGAAAACCACTGTCCTGCCATATAAAATAAGTGGGAGGATTAGGCTCAATCCACAGACTGTAGGTTTTCCAATTAGGCCCCCAAATCTGGGCACAGGCCCCACATAGCCAGGCTCCCTGCATGCTAGGTGGATACCCTGGGATTGGCCAAGTGACTTCTCTGGGTTTCATTTTTCTCACTAAATATAACATAATTCTGATATATTATGAAACTGTGTGAAATTACCATTTTAATGGCAACTTTATACAACTGTGTTTAATAGGATGGAGATATAGTGCGCACCTCAAAGGCTCTCAGGAAGATGAGCTGAGATAAAGCAGATGAAACATTAGGTTGGAGCCCCTGGTAAGGGCAGCAGAAATGGCAGTACCGCCTCAGGAAACAAGCCCCCTGAGCTTCAGTACCAATGAACAGATCCTTTAGGATCTTAAAGCAGGATTTGAAAGGACCAAGGAAAATCTGTCAATATTTAGAAGAACAATCATGCTTTGCAGGACTTATTTCCTTAGCCAAGAGGTTTTTAAACTAGAGATCTCTGCGGCGAGGCTCTGTAGTGGAGAAGCCAGCCCGGCTACGTCCAGTAGGCACACAGACAAGAAACCAACACACGGAGAGTCACAACACGGTGAGGCCTGGCTACAGCCCTTCTCTCCCAACCCCCAAATGAGACAACCTCCAAATTTCAACCCGTAATCCCATCTATTTCAAAAAGAAAAGGAGGAGGGGTAGCTCACTTTGGGATTGTAAGGAAGGCCAAGGGAATAAAGCTGTTTCATTTCAACTGCATCTTGAACAACATTTAGTGGAAATTCTGGTCATAGTTTGTCATCTGCCATATCTCCTATATAAGTCCTTTTGTTTTTTAAGCCCATGAAATTGAACTTTATGTCCCCTGTGCTATTAGCAAAAGGTCTCTCTTACCCCGCACCGATGAACGGCGACCAGCATAGCTGAGAACGGGTGACACACCAGATGACACACATGTGGCTGGTACAGTCTGGCAGGCTGCAGCTTGGTGGACATGGACTGGAGCTGCCTGGACTCTCCACGCCAGGCAGCAGGGATGCCAGGGTCCCAGGTGGGGCAGTGCCCTATCAGATTCATTCTGAGCACCAGCGGCCCATAAAGACAACTCATTATGTGGTTTCATCAGAGAATTGAGCCAAATGCCTGGGACTCAGAGGTTAATTCTCCGAACAACCCATGGGGTGGGGAGGGGAAGGGAGGCTACCTGTGGGGGGAGCAACAACTCTTTGCATGTGCCAGTGTGACCTTTCTGAAACACTGAGACAAAAGCCCTTACACCCCAGATACCCAGATAAAAGTTCCAAATGGCATCTTTCTACATGGGGAACCAAACGGGTCTCTTATCACTACAGCACAATTAAATTATGTCTTCTCACAAAAATCCTGAAACAATTAGGAAAACAACCATTTTGGCTACAATAAGAGCATCTGAACAGGTAAGACCACCATTGTCTGACTGCAAGTTGAACTTGGAAACGCAGGACAAATCTCACAGAAAGAAGCCTATTTTTGAGTTACAGCATCTATGGAATGAAACAGACCCCCACGTCCTCCATGTGCCACTTAAAGGAACACAGTGAAAGGAAATTCTTATGGTATCCCAGGAAGCCACGGACCCAGTCCAGTCTTTCTCAGTGATGAGTCCAGCTATGGTTTAGATCTAAAATGTCCCCCAAATGGTTCATGTCTTCAGGGTGGGACTTGTGGAAGATGACTGGCTCATGGATAATCTGCTGACAAACTCATGGCTGAGTGCTGTTAGGAGGCGGAGTCTCTCTGCCTCTGCCTCTGTCCCTGTCCGTCTGCCTCTGCCTGCCTCCCCACCCTCTTCTCTCTCCCTCCCTCTTCCCCTTCTGCCTTTTTCTCCCTCCCCTTTCCTCCCCTGACTCCACACCAGGCAGGAGCCAAGCAGAGGTTTGTTACTGGTTCCCTTAACTCCGGGGTTGTGAATGTCTCAGACTAGGAACAGAGCGGACTGATCAGTGATGAGGTGGTACCATCAACGTGACCGCCACCTGTCCCAAGGGACTGCCCAGACGAGACCAGAGGACGTGGGTGGACAAAGTCAGCACAGGATGGCCCACTGCGGCCCCGGGCAGGGGTAAAGGAATCTGCCATAAACCTTCGCCAGCAAAGAGCTAGTTTCAGAAAATGCCAGCATCTCCCATGTTCAAATTCAATTTGGAACAAAACTGATTTTCTAAAGGTGTAACATGTCAACTTAATTGAATTTTTAAAAAAACTTTTATACAAGATAAAAGGGCAAGGGAATTCAGACCTCATTTTAAGTGTGCTCATATTTCGCCATATTAATAAGAAAATAATGTAAGTTGACAGCAATGGGAGTCTGAGAGTTTCTCCTTGGGTTCATCACCCAAGCCTGAGGGACACTGATAGACCACTTTCATTTGGGGACTCCTGGGTGCGGAACAGAAAATCACTCTCTCAGATCCATAAAACTCTGTGAAACCACAGCCCTGAACTTACTTGTGGACTTCAGGGACCTCCAAGCACCGAGGCTGAGCTTCTATTATAGCACAGCTAACAGCTCCGGGATAGCCGAGTCCATGATGTCTGGGACGCCCCCCGAGAGCCACTTCCTCTAAACCCCAGAGACCCAAAAGCAGTGCTTGGATCCCCTAGGAGCACGCCCACACCACAGTACTCACACGAAGAAGGGCACCAGCTGCACCAGAGTCTCCTTCTTGGGGCTGGCGGCGAACGCGGGCACCATCTGGATGACCTTGTTCACGACACTGCGCAGGTAACTCTGGAGCTGCTTTCTCCGTTCCTCCACGAATTTGGCGTCCTGAGAACACAGACGGGACACACGTGCTCAGGGTGGCTTCCCCGCTCACTGGGGAAGGAGCCCCCAGTAAGTGCAGTAACCGCTCGGCTTCACACACACTGCTGACTGAACAAAAGGAAAGGAGGTCACGGTGCTCCTGTTATCAGTAGGTGCGGGAGCAGCGGGTCTAGAAGCACGAGCTGTGAACTCCCGTGGGTGAGTGAGCAGGCGAAGATGGTAATTCTCGGTACTGCACGGTGCTGAGGGCCGGGGCCAGAAGAATGAACATAAAGGATCAGTGCTGTGTTTCCCTCAGAGTTCACAGGCCAGTGAGGAAGAGGCACATAAATCCAGGGGCCACATAGGTAAATATATAATTATTAATCATACTAAGTGTCACCTCCAGAGCACGTGCTTAATTCTGTCTGCGTAGTTTTTCAATTATGAGTCAGTAATCACTGATTAAGAGAGAAAGATTTTATTAACAAGCAGACAAGATGCCACCCTCTTGCAACTAGGACATGCGGTGGTAGTTTGGTCCCCTGCAGGGCGGACCCTGGCTGGGGCTGAGGGGGCGGGGCGCAGGCTCCATCACTCAGCACTCCAGACCCCTTCACTCATTCCCAGGTCCCACTCTACCCACGGGGGTCTGGTCTCGTAGGCACGGCTGGCTGCGTGGGTGTGGGTGCTTGCACCTGTGTTGTGATCTGTTGCCCCACCTCGAAAACCTCAACCACAATCCTACAGTGAGTCCAGCTTGCACGCCTCTGCACTGTGGGGCCAGGTCATGAGAAAAATCCTGGGCAGCACAGGCAGTGGCAGAGTTTCTCAGAGAAGGTAGCGTTCCTTCTGCGCTGAAGACCAAGTGGGCGGATCAAGGAAGAGCAGATGCAGAGCAGGGCTACCGCTACCTCACAAGGACACGAGGAGAGGCTGTAACACACCAGGAGGCCCTGTGAACGGCCAGAGCTCCTCTCTGCTTCCCTGCGTGGGCAAAGAGCTGGTCCACGGCAGGGGCTCAGCGATGAACTTTCTAGGGCTCAGACTGATCGCTTAGTGCTCTGGCCTCTGATGAAGCAATTCCAGAAAGCCTGGCCAAGACCTCAACATTTCTAAAGTGGCACCTCTAAGCCAGGGAGGCAAGTTGGCATAAAGACGCAGAATGCTCAGTGAAACTGGAACCTCAGACCAACAGCAAATATATCTTCAGCAAAAATGCATCCCTTATAGAAACACCTGCCTGTACTAAAGGATTCTTGGTTGTTTATCTGAAATGCAAATTTCACTGGGCATCCTTTATTTTCCCTGGCAAGCCTGCTCTGGGTACCAGATGCAAGGAAGACTAAGGGAACATCTGCTGTCACACCCTGAGAACTGCCTCATGGGGATTTTCCTTCAGAGGCTGTGGTGACACTACCTACCACGGGCCACTCCGCTATCATTGCCAGTGCAGTCCCAGGCCAGTGGCTCAAACCTGGTGCAGCTTGTCAGGAGGCGGGCTAGGTGGGAACAAGTGAAGACATCTGGCCAAGACAGTAGTGGGTCACCCTCCGCCGCCCCAAACTAGAGCACTGGGGTTCTGTTCCCTGGGGCTGAAGGCCAGGTTCTGCTTCTTGATCTCCACCATTAAGCAATTAGATGTTCCTTCCCCGGAAAGGTGGTTAATGTGCCAGGTCAGTGTTGAATGGAGCTAATCAGGCCTAGTTCTTAATCTGCATAAGAAACTCTTACGGACAGCTGAAGAGGCTCTGTTGCAGGAAGACATGGGGGGAGCTCATCACCCTCGAAATGACTGTGGAGATTTTCCTTTATTTATTTTTTTGGAAGTGGATGTGCAAAATTCTCTGAGCAGCCACAAGAGATGAGAGATGGTCCCTTGTGCTGAGCCTCAGTGGCTGGCTGAGCAACAGAGCCCAAAGAAAGTGGACAGGCATTCTCCAGCCAGATGATTCCACACGAGTCTCATCTGCCCACTGTCATATTTTATTAGTATCTCCTCCTGCCCGGGTCCCACACGTAATAGCAACTTAGCAGAGATGGAGGTCACCCCCCTGGAGGGATCTCCGAGGGCCATTCGAAGTGTCGCCTATGTCAGTCCTACTTGGGGTCATCCAGGGTGGCAGCGATCTCGGTTCCACAACCAGGAAATTGTTACCTGAGCTATTCAGCGTGAGCAACAGCATCTTCACTTGTGCTCAGCGCCCCATGCCCTGTGCTCGCCTCATACTACATCTGTACAATGTGCGCGAGGATCAGGCGGGAGGAACCTGCTCAAGGGCTCAGCAGCAGGGGAGCAGGGACTCAGGTTTTCCACCAGGGAACAGTCACAGCCCCCTCAACCAGAAGGCTCTTTCAGCCCACAGAGAGAAAGCTACAGCTTCCTCTAAAGCAGGTGCCATCTCCTGTGAACAGGAAGATACCTGGAGAGACGCCATGCCCTCGGCTTCCCATGAGGCCCTCACCTGAGGGGCATGGGAGACCTCAGACAAATTCATGGAAGGCTGTATCTTTCCTGTGTGTGTTTTCTTCTATTATGAAAAATTCAAATATGCCCAAACAGATACATGAATGTAAATAACCCTTTCTCTAAAGCTAGCCCCTTTCCATACTTGCTTCATTATTTTTACCTTTTTGCAAAGGTAATTCAATGTATTTATAGCCATGTGGGCATTTCATTCTTAAGTACTTTAGTGTACATTTCTAAATACTTAAGATATTTTCCTATTAACAACAGTACCGTTATCATCTCTAATAAAATTAATACCAACTGGTTGGCATTATCTAATAGCACATCTATATTTATAAATGTTGGAGTTTTCAAATGAGGTTTCTGCTTCGGGTATTTTCACAGAGGGGCAGCAGCACAACTCAAGTAGCTGGTAACTCATCAGCAGGTTGACGTGACGCTGCTCAGAATGGAGCCCCAGAAAGATTGGTCCAGTTCAGACCAAATGTGACCATGGGGGGTAGGTTTTGTACAGACACAGTGATGTTTAACAAGCATTAAAACCTGTATCTCTGGCTTCCTTTTAAGGTGCGCAGGAGTAGCAGCAGTGGCCCTGTTGGCTGGACGCATAGTGCCACCATCCTTCCCAGGCCAGCTTCAAGGGTCTGAGTTTTCTGCCCCTCGCTGACATCATGTACACAGACAGTATGACTGGCTGGGGTCTGACAGATGTCCAAGAGGCCATACTGTGTCCAATTCACATCACAAGGTGACACTCCCTGAGGCTGTCACAGAGACCGCAGTACCATTTTCCAGTTCTGGGGGCATGGGTTTCTCATCTGCAAAGGGGAATGAAGTAGTGCTCCCCTCATTTGTGACAACCCAGGCTAAGCACCTCATCACCAGCAGGGCCTGCAGACTCTGGGAGCGGCGCTGGTGATTCACAGTTGTTTAGCTGAGAATCTTTTCCTTAAGGACTGTACATGTGTAGACTGGGATAGGATAGGTTGGGACAAGTGCAAGGATTTTACAATCCCCAGGCAGCTTGCAGAAAGAAGTGAGCAGGTTTGCAGGAGGATGGAGAGGGTTTCGCTCAGAGGATGCTGCTGCTTCTGCTGGCTGTTGGAACAAAGGTGCACATCCATCAGGCAATCTGAGAAGATACCCCGAGCGTAAGGCAAGGACATGCTAAGTAGAAGGAATAGCAAATGCAAAAACCTCACAAGCAGAAAGTCGATTTGCTGGAGCAGCAAAGAGAAAGGGCTGTGCGGCCAGCCTTCCTGGTTTCGTGGCTTAAGATCAGAGGGAGTATCAGCAGGAGCCCCTCACACACAGCCTCGCAGACAACAGAAAGACACCCAAAAGGGGAGTAGGAAGCCAGAGGCATTCATCAAGGTGACAACAGGGGAAGGAGGCTGTAGCTGCTTTGGCACAGAGATCTTTCAATGGTTCTCTATGAACTCTGTCCACCTCTTGGAACACATCCAGATCCTCTTGGGCCCAGCCTGTTCATTTTCCTTTAGAGCGCTCACAACAACCTGGAATGTTCTCTTTCCTCTGGAGCTTCTTACTCCCCACCTCTCCTACTAAGTACACTGCAAATTCTACAGAGGCATGGATCTTACCTGTCTGGTTCTTTCCTTTAGCACCCAAGCGTAATACAGAGCCTGAGGACTGCCAAAGCCCAGATAAAACAAACACTTCCTGAAAGAATAGATAAATGTGGAGGGTGGATTTAAAAGATGCAAGAGGGAGAATGATCTGGAGGCTGCTGCCAAGGCCCAAGAAAGAGAAAACAAAGGCCCTGATGGAGTGGGATGGAGAGAGTAGCGCTGGCCCGGAAACCAACTCTTGGGTCCCAGTGGCTCTGGGCAAGGAGGCAGAGGGCAGAGGACCAGAAAGTGGTCCCTCACAGACCAGTCAGGATTTTAAAAATGGGAGTATTTTTCCCCTACAGAAAAGGTTCATTTTATTTTAAACTACAAGAAAATAAAAAGTGAAATAAATAAGACACACATCTGTAAATATCGAATAGTTTCTCTGATGTGAAAAACTAAAATCATAAATAAGATCCAAATTGTATAAATGACAATGTGAAATGGGAAGAAAAGGCTAAAGATGTAGGGGAAGTGGGAAGGGGAGGGGAAAGGAAATAAGGGAAAAGAAAAAATATGAGAAAATAAAATGTGGAAACAAAGTATAAATAGGGAAGGGTGGAGGGGGTGAAGGGAGGGCAGGGGTATGGGGAAAAAATAAGAACCAAGACCTGTCATGTAAAGGTACAAGATCCCAATGATGAATGTACCTGTACTGTATACCTAGAATGTACCAATAAACTCAATGAGAAAAAGAAAAGAAAAGAAAAGAGAAGAAAGATACCATCAAACTGAGAGTAGCTATTCTACAGCCAACACAATGTTGTGAACAAAGCCCGGCCCCTACAATTTCCCTCACAGCCCCAGCAATGGATGTCACTATGGACACCCCATTTTCCAGCGAGCCTCAGGGGCTGTACCATGTGTGAGTCCACAGGGGACTGGATTTCCAGAGTTCCCTTCTGTTTTTGTCTAAGAAC